CGGCTGAGAAAGGTTTTTTTTGGGGTGGATGGGGAGTGGGGCGGAGGTAGTGAGGCCAGGGGTGCGGATTTAAAAATCGGCTGAGATAGGTTTTTTTTGGGGGGGGGGAATAGGGCGGGGGTTGTGGGGCCGGGGGTTCGAATTTTTGAGGTCGGGTGAGATATTTTTTTTTTTTTTGGGGGTGAGGAGAGGGGGGGTGGGTGTGAGGGGGGGGTGCGGATTTTGAGGTTGGCAGAGATAGTTTTTTTTTGGGGGTTGAGAGTGGGGGGGGTGAGGCCGAGGGTGCGGATTTTGAGGTCGGCTGAAATAGGGCGGGGGGGGGGGGGGGAGGCAGGGGGTGCGTTTGAGGTCGGCTGAGATATTTTTTTTTTTTGGGGGTGGAGGCCGATGTTGAGGCCAGGGCTGCAGATTTTAAAATCGTCTGAGATAGGTTTGTTTTGGGGGGTGTGGGGAGTGGGGCGGGGGTGGTGAGGCCGGAAGTGTGGATTTTGAGGTCGGCTGAGATATTTTTTTTTAGGGGGTGGGGAGAGTTGGTGGTGAGCCCGGTGGTGCAGATTTTGAGGTCGGCTGAGATAGGTTTTCTTTGGGGTGGGGGGAGTGGGGCGGGGGTGGCGAAGCCGGGGGGTGTGGAATTTGAGGTCGGCTGAGATAGGTCTTTTTCTTTTGGGGTGGGGAGTGTGGGGGGGGTGAGGCCGGGGGTGTGGATTTTTTGGCTGGCTGATATTTTTTTTTTCGGGGGGGGGGTGGGGGGAGTGGTTGCTAATCCATCTCATTTTTCTTTCGTCTACCGTTTTCTTATTTATTACATCCTCTCTTTTTTCCATTTGGTTTCCTTTACCCCCCCATTTAACATCCATGACTTTACACTATTCACCTGACAACAATGGTCAATCACTGGTTAATTGATCAATTAGACTCACGTTTCCTATATATTCACCCGTTCATCCACCTCCCCCTGCTTGAAAAAGGAGTGCACTTCCTCCTTCCACGGCCAGTGCATGCTCTGAAACGCGTTGCAGTGCACCCTGGGATCTGACGTTATCACGGCCACGCCGCCGCTACGTTCCAGCGTGCGTTCCATCCGGCTCTGAGGGAGGACGTGCACGCCGGCCGGCCTCACCGCTGTTCCCCTCCAGCCACCATGCTGTTCCAGCCGAGAGCTGACCTCCCCACATCGCAGAGATGACGGCTCTTCACCCGGGTTACCACCCCACCGATAACTATTGTTAACCACGGGTTTTAAGCTTATGATTACTTCACACATGTGAGTGTTTCTACATTTAGACTTGAATTAAAAGACTTATTGCACTTAGAGGCGCTTCTCTCCTTTTTCTCTGTTATTATCTTATGATTTGATTTTTTAGTACTGTTATGTTGGTATAATTCCATCACCCATAGACGTGATTTCACTGCACTTACTGTTGCTCTCATATTAGCGCTCCCACAACAATTTTTCTATATAAGTTTCTCTTACTGTTCAGCGCTGCATATCCATTTATTTGCTATTCTTTGAGGTGTTGAGGATTTACCTTTATATGCTAGCTGCTCCTTTTAGAAATTAATACATTGCGCTCACATTATTTCTTTATTAAAAAAATACAAGGTTTTAAAAACCTTTAATAGCCATTGCTAAAGCTTTCCATATACTGTTTGAATTTCAGTTGCTTCCTGATTGGCTTAGTGACTGCCCATGACACTACCTTACCGCACCACATCCTTTGAGTAAAAAATTGAAGGATCTGGATAAAACATTTACAGCTGAACAGTGACTGCATCCAATGAAATAATATACAGATACTATTTGGGTGTTCTGACCAGTGTCAGAATACATTAGGAGCAGCGGGAGATTATTTTATCCGCACGGTATAGCTTGGATGGAGGAACCTGTTACATTTTTCTTTTGTTCAGCCCACAACCCACAAGTGTATAGTCAGCTTAAAGTTATTTACACTGTCCATCTGATTGGCTCCCCAAGCTTTGTGGAGGATAATAATGGCACCTTAGAAAGAAGAAGGAGATTAGGGTAATAAAATATGGCATTTATTAACATAAGGATAACAGTAAATCATAGATTTTTTTTATTTCATCATCATAAGATTTAATTCACAGTGCAGTAATAGGCCCTGATGTAAAGGAATCTGTCAGAGCAGAAATGTTGGAATCCATATTTCTGCCTTGGCTTTAACAATGCAAGCCTGAGGTTGTCATCTCATTTCTGCTTCAGTTATCCAGAATAAGCATACAGCCAGTGAACAGGACCTCAACCAGTATGTGTAATCCAGATAAGTGGTTCCATACGTTGTAAAGGAAGCAAAAGACTTATAGACTTGGAGCCTGTCCTCTGAAACAAGTCAAAAATAAGTTGATATATTATGCGACTAAAAATATATAGATACCTGACTGTCACACCTACAGTTGTGTTCAAAATAATAGCAGTCAGACATCACTAACCTGATCAATCACTGTTTTTGGTAGAAATGATATTTCTACATGGCAAATAATTTACTAGCAGGTGTAGTAGAGTAATAGAAATCCAACAGACCCAACAGTCATGACATGCATGCTGCTGATTCTGTGTAATTGAATCACTAATTGAAAGGGGCATGTTCAAAATAATAGCAGTGTGGAGTTCTATTAGTGAGGTCATTCATTCTTTGAAAAACAGGTGGCAATTATTGCCCTTATTTAAGGAAGGAACGCAGCAAATGTTGTACATGCTGGTTACAGTGCATTTCTCTCTGAAATTCTGAGGAAAATGGGTCGTTCCAGACATTGCTCAGAAGAACAGCGTACCTTGATTAAAAAGTTGATTAGAAACATATAAAGAAGTGCAGAAAATAATAGGCTGCTCAGCTAAAATGATCGCAAATGCTTTAAAATGGCAACCAAAACCTGAAAGATGCGGAAGAAAGTGAAAAACTACCATTCGAATGGATAGAAGAATAGCCAAAATGGCAAGGACTCAGCCAACAATCAGCTCTAGAAAGATCAAAGAAGGTGTAAAGTTACCTGTGAGTACTGTTATAATTAGAAGATGCCTATGTGAAGCCAAGCTATCTGCAAGAAGCCCCCGCAAAGTCCCACTGTTGAAAAAAAGACATGCTGAAGAGGTTACAATTTGCCAAAGAGCACACTGAATGGCCTAAAGAGAAATGGCGCAACATTTTGTGGACTGATGAAAGTAAGATTGTTCTTTTTGGGTCTAGTGGCCGGAGACAGTTTGTCAGACGACCCCTAAACACTGAATTCAAGCCACAGTACACTGTGAAGACAGTGAAGCATGGTTGTGCAAGCATCATGATATGGGGATGTTTCTCATACTACGGTGTTGGGCCTATTTATCGCATACCAGGGATCATGGATCAGTTTGAATACATTAGAATACTTGAAGAGGTCATACTGCCTTATGCTGAAGAGGAAATGCCCTTGAAATGGGTGTTCCAACAAGACAACGACCCCAAACACACCAGTAAACGTGCAACATGTTGGTTCCAGACCAACAAGATTGACGTTATGGAGTGGCCAGCCCAATCCCCGGATCTTAATCCAATAGAAAACTTGTGGGGTGACATAAAAAATGCAGTTTCTGAGGCAAAACCAAGAAATAGAAGAAGAACTGTGGAATGTAGTCCAATCATCCTGGGCTGGAATACCTGTTCACAGGTGCCAGAAGTTGGTTGACTCCATGCAACACAGATGTACAGCAGTTCTCAGAAACAGTGCTTATACAACGAAATATTAATTAAGCGATTCAAAGGAAAGCAAAATATTCAAACATTTTTCAGTTTATATAGTGAATGTTTGAGTTTGTAAAGAAGAATACAAACACTGCTATTTTTTTGAACAGTCTAATATTCACTTTTCTTCAATTTTTTTAGAGGAACAACACAAATTTGATATATTTTTCTTCATGTTTTGATTTGGAATAGAATGTGTAGTGTTCTTCCCAATGCATTTGTGTGTATGGAAATAAAAGCTATTAGAAGGATTTTGAGCTTTATTCACTTTTTTCAACACGCTGCTATTATTTTGAACACAACTGTATATCAGCATGGTTGATCTCCTATTCCAAAACCAACTGAGTTCAGCTGTTTCCAGTGAGGGAGCTTTTGTAAAACTTTAGGGGAAAGACCTTTTCTATTTCGGTATGACTGTCACTTCTGCATAAAGCCATCTCCGAAATACATGGTTTAACGGGTTTGGTGGAATGGCCTGTACAAAGCCCTGACTTTAACATCGATTGTGAGACGACACCTGTACTTAACCTTACAAATTGGCTTAAATTTCCACAGACACACACTCCAACATCCTTGTAGAAAGCCTTTCCAGAAGAGTGGAGGCTGCACCAAGGTAATTCTCAGTTTTGTAAAAGGATGTCTAATAAGCTCATATAGATGTGATGGTAAGTTTTCCACAACCTTTGGGCCATATAGTGTATATCTAATTCCCATAGACAAACTCTAGAATCTTGAGGAACATTTTTCCAGAAGAGTGGAGGCTGTTTTAGTCACAACAGTGGTTTCAGGTTTAATGCCTAGGGTACGGGAATAGGATGTCTTAAAAGCTTATATGAGTTGGATGGTCAGGGATCCACAAACAATTGGCCGTAAAGTATATATAAAAATAAAACTTGAGGGCAGGTCACAAATATGCCCTATAGAAGATCCCAACTTCACCCTTATCCACATGAAGTTCCAGTTTAACAGCTGCACCATCTGGGCCTAGCTGGGAAGTTAGGTGAGGAGATCTCACTACCGGAGTCCATGAGATATATAAGAAGCCAGTTGACGATTGAGCCCAGTTGACGATTGAGCCTCTCAGTGTCTAACAATAAATAAACTATCACTCTAAGGCCAGAATGTAGAACCTGCAATAGATGACTCAAGGATAGGACAGAACGCTTCCTTCATTGACCTCACATTGTCCTTTCCTTGTTCAGCATTTCCTGAATGATATGAGGTAATAGATCTTAGAGTTCCAGTAAGGATGCAGAAAGTGCTCTAAGACCAAGTCTCTGCCTGGTAACGACCACTTTTCTCCAGCATGATCAGATACTGTTCAGCCTCCTCCGAGGACATGGTGCCCTCCTTCTGGAAGACTTCTTTCAGAGCATCTGTCACTTGTGTTGGCATTGATTTAGCGTTTCTAAGAGAGAGAGAGAAATAATGATTAGCATAGGACCACCTTAAAGATTTTCTCCTGTTGTTATCAAACCTATTTCAATAAGTCAAAATATACAAATATCTTCAAATATTTAAAGAGATATTTAGGGCAAGAACTAACTAAGCTTAAAACTGCTCCCAGCCCCCTTCCAACTCTTATACTAACTACCCTGTAGAAAGAGGATGCTTATACTCACCTCTGGTCAGGGAGCTCTGGTCCGGTCATGTGATTTCCCCAGCAGCTGGCCTTAGGGGAGAGAGCACTGACAATGGATGGAATGCCTGGGCATTCCTATAGGCTTACTATGGGGCGTCTGTTTTTGGCTGTCCCTCCTCTCCCCTGAAGCTAGTTGCTGGGAGCTGATCACGTGACCAGACTGGAGCGCCCTGACCACAGGTAAGTATAAGCATCTTCCTTCTACAGGGTAGTTAGTATAGGTGTCAGAAGGGAGGCGGGAGCAGTTTTAAGCCATGGTGCAGAGATATCAGTTCTTCTGCACGCGTTCTGCAATGGCAAAACTAAATAAATTGTTCTCTATGTGCCCTGTTCACTTCACAACAATAGCATCACATGCAGATTTTTTTCAGCAGAGGAATCTGCAACATGTACAAAACTTATTAAAGAATGCATGACAACGGATGTCTCTGAAAGTGAAATCTGCCCATCAGTTTTTCTGCACGTATGGTGTGAATGAGGGCTTAAGCTTTGTCTTAAGCAGACCTCAAGTCAAAAAATAAAAGATTTTTACAAAACAGACATTGACCTGTCCCATGATCCAGCAGTGTCCTCACCACAGCCTGTTTCACCAGCCGTCCTCTCTCCCCAGTGCTGGCATCTTCAGTGTGGGCACCCGGCTGTGACAGCTTGTGGCTACATAGCCAGGTGCCCACTGCGCATGTGCAAGTAGTGCTGCACCTTGTGAATGGTCCTGTCATGCGTCCCAGAAGACTACGGGGAGGAAGGACAACTTCCACTTCCGATCGCCTAGCCAACCGCAGTGGAAGTGGGAGAGGGTACCTATCAGAACTGGGTACCGGCTCCCCAAAGGGCCAATCCGTAACGGGGAGAGGGAGATGAGGACTTAAGCAGAACGTCCCTTTTTGGGTGGAACTCCGCTTTAACCTCTTGCGCCGGCGCTTCCCAGCCCTTTAAGAGTTTCAGAAGCGGGAAGGCGGGGTTTTAGGGTCATGTGACCGCTGTGATTAGTCATCACAGCAGTCTCATGAACCGAAAAGGTCCCGATCGAAAGCGGAGATAGGGACCTTTCTGGGAGTAGCGGACATATGTGCTGGGAGCACGCAGGGCGTGCGCTCTCACCCCATATGTATTTTTTAATTGTATGCAAATATGCGGCCGCTCGGCGTCAAGGCCCAGACGCCGAAAGGCTGCATATTTGCATGCAATTGGCGTCAAGGGGTTAAGTTCCAGCCTGGAATTCTACTTGAACAATAAATGTGTGGTTCAATCCTTGGCATAAAAATATATTTAAAAAATATATGCTGGACTTTGAACCACTGCTTGTGCATAAACTATACCTTAGTAACAGGTATAGAACAAAAGAAAAACATGGAGTGTATCAGGGTGCCAGATCACTTCCAAAAGAATAGGTAATATTTGGTGCCACGTCCTAATTATAATAGTCAAAAATTGAAGGGAAAGAAACAGGGGAAAGGTTGCAAATGGACTTTAAAGACACAGAAATTTCAATCACATATTGTTAAAATTATTTGTACTTTATTATGACAAAAAAGTCATGAAAAAACATCTTGCAGTTTAAAAGATCATAGTTATACTATTCCCGCAGACAATGTCCCACAGCCCACCATGTACAAGGAACACATTAATGATTAGAGATGTAAAAACCACCAGATGGATCCTATAGGGGGGGATGAGAGACATTAAGCCGCAGGAAAATGGCCCAACATGTTTCGCGACAATGGTCGCTTCTTCAGGGGCTTAATAGTAAAATCTAAAAGAAATATACATAAACTGAATATATCAAACTACAACATGTGAATACAAGAAAAAAGCAAAATCATACATTAACATAATATGAATTTATATGATATCAATATACAACATGCAGCAGCAAAACCCTCCATGTATAAGGGGTAGGCCTCCTCTGGGGGCCTACCCCTTATACATGTTGGGGTTTTGCTGCTGCATGGTGCATTTTGAGATTTCTGTGCCTTTAAAGTCCATTTGGAACCTTTCCCCCATTTCTTTCCCTTCAATTTTCTACCAACAGGTGTATCGTGAGATAATAATGTGTGAGCACAGGGGAGTTGATGTACTATTTATGCATTTGTCATATTGACAAACTTGGGGCTTGTGGCTATTTGCTTGCTAATTCATCTCAGATGATGCTGACGCTAGTATAATGTGTTTTTATAAACAAAGGTTTTTTTAGTATAGGGATCATTTTGTGATCTGAATAAAAGTTATATATTTTTAAATGTATTATATGTTAATTAGGTATAGTTTATGAACAAGCAGTTGTTCGAAGTGCAACATATATTTTTTCCTAGTATAAAACCACCCAAAACATAATGCAGTTCTAAAACAGCAATCTGCTCAGAAACAACAAATCAGTTTGGCCAGATCACTGTCTGATTTGTCTAGTCCTGCTCATCTGATGGATTCCTACTTATTTTATATTAGAGAAAATACAGCAGGATGAATGAGACTTCAAGGGGGTTGAACTAGGAACAATGAAGCTGCTAAGATGAAAAAGAATCCAGTCTTGCAAACACATTTTGAAAAAAAGGGAATATCTATTTGTGTGACTGTGCTTTAAATATGTAAAATATTTTGCATTAAAAAATCTTCAAAATGTATTTAAACATAAGTTTAGAGAAAACCTGTCACCAAGTTTGAAAAAAAAGCACACAAAAAAATCAAGTATTTTAAATGCTTGTTTTTAGTGTTTTTTTCTTTACAAAAATGTTTTATTCACGATGTGCCTTTGAACTTGCTAGAAAAATTGTCATCTCCAGGAAGAGTCAATTTTCCTAGCACAGCCCCTCCTTCCTTGCATGCCACAGCCTTCCCCTTTTCATGGAGTGTCTAATTACTTTCTGTGCTGTCCCAGCTCCTTCGTCCCATACTTCCATACATAATCTTTTATGAAATTGCTGAAGGAAAAGGTAAAGGAAATAATATAGTGTGACAGCTCTGACTGCTGGGGCTGCTGACAACACGTGCAAGATGGTGGCATTCAGCAGTAACCTCGGAGGTTTTGGATGTCTACACAAGGGAGGTTTTGAAGATAAATAACATGCATAAAATTGTCATTTATCCTTAGAGGAAGATTTTTGTTGATTTAGTCTGGTGACAGGGTTTTTTTTAAAGAAAATAAACGTAAACTAAAGTTGACATTTTTTTCTTTTATCAATAACTGCAGATATAAAGCTCTCACCCGGCGAGGTAGAAGTAGGCTTGTTTTGTATTGATCAGGTCCCAAACATATGCTGCATTTTCCCTAATTCGATGTTGGACATAAATCTTATCCTCCTGTGTGAATAAATTGGGAAACGAACAACAAATATGAAAGAGAATGGACAAATGTAAGATATTAGCACATTTTATCTCCCTCCAGATGGGATAATAAATAATTATTATTATTATACAGGATTTATATAGTGTCAACAGTTTGCTCAGCACTTTACAATATAACGGGAGACAATACAGCAACAATACAGTTCAATACAAGAGGGATAGGAGGGCCCTGCTCCTTGGAGCTTACTATGCTGATCAAAGAGGAAAAAACGAAATTGAGTACTCACAGCTTTCCTTTTGAATATATCAGTGACACATTATCAAAGAAGCCCTAAAGTGCCGTCATTCTGCCGCACCACTAAGCATGAAGCAGAGCCTGCACAGGTAGCAAGCAAAAATGGCTGCCCTCAGCTACAAATGAGTACAGCCAATCAATCCTTCAATGTACCTGTGCCCAGGCTATGGACAAAAAATGATTTACATATTCATGCATGTACTGTGAAGAATAATTTTCCTGACCGCTTATAGCTACACAGGTGAATGAGGGTTTGTTTTAAGAATGGGTAGACACTAATGTCCATAGCCTGGCACAGACACATCAGGAAAGGAAAAGAAAAGAAGAGAAATCTCCACAATAACAGCAAAAAAAAAAAAATCTGTGCCATACTAGTGAAAAGGAATTAAATTCAGAGATGTAATCACAAAAGACCTCATAGGAAAAGAAGAAAAAACAGTTTGTTTAAAGCATAACTCCCAGATGACAATGAGAATTTTAGCAGATAAATGGCTCATTGGGACTACACTGACCTGGTCACGACTGAATGCTGTGAACAGCGTCAGGATTCCTCTCTTCTCCAGATCTGTCCATTCTCCATGGAAATAGAAATCTTTGTTCTTCCCTCTGCAGCCAAAGAACAAACAGCTGCCTGCAAGGCACCAAAATGATAAACTTATTTTTTTTCAGAAGGGGGTGGTGCTGGTGTACCTCTCATCAGATGGAACAGTCACAGACCTGTCTTTTTAAGAGCTGCCCTTTCTTCAATGGCGGCGTGGAAGGGGGCTACTCCGGTTCCAGGTCCCACCATTATCATCAGGGTGTCTGGGTCGCTTGGGAACTTTAAACTACCTTTTTTAACCCAAAGGGGGATCCGTACTCCTGAGCAAGAGGAACAGTGCTATGCATAAGATAACTGAAAAATATGTATTGGTTATTCAGTCATAAAACTCACAAATAAACTGGAGTACTTGGTGAGGAGAGAATCAATGACAAAACACCCTTTCCTCTGGAGGAGTTTACAGTCTTGTGTTCTTATTATAGTCAAGCAGGGGCTAAGGATAATATGGGTGAAAGCAGATTAATTTGCCAGCACATTTTATGGAAGGAAACCCATGCTAACAATGAGTAGCATATTGTCCCTACTAGGAAAAAAATCATGGATCCCTGTGCTGCAAGGCCACAGAACTAACTCTCACCCATGGCCTCTATCCCTGCCCTAGGCCTAAGTTCTCTATACTATTAAATGAAACACACATATTTTTGGGTTAAGCCATTATTGTATTTCAACAAAACCTAGCAGATCCCAGGACAAGCAGGAAAAAATCGAAATCTTGTTTTTTTTACGCTTTGACAGCAGAAAATTCCTTACACTATATAACTTGTTTTTAGGAAGACATCCTGTCCTTTCTGAAAAGGATTAACTCTTCCCCACACTATGCAAACCTAAAAAAAAATGTTTGGTTGGAGTTACTTTTTAAAGTAGAAGTCCAGGCTTTTCTTATCTATGCCTAAACTTGCTCACATCCTCTTCACACTCCTATTTCTAACTACCGTGGAGATGCTTACAAATCCTGTATACCGGTTTGATCATGTGATCTCCCCAGCGGCTGGCCTCAGGGGACAGGAGAGATTGCCCTCCTTTTACAGGGTAGATAAAGGGGGGTGGGAGCAGGTTTAAGCGCAGTTAGGAAAAGCCTCGAATTCCAATTTAAGGGGTCAGCAAATGCAGAGATTTTGTTGTAATGCTAGATGATGATGCAGACTTAAGCCTGGTACACACAATGAGAATGTCAGACAAATGATCATCTGTTTTTTCTTGCATGCTAGTCTCATATCATAAATGAAGAGGTTACTTAAAAATTTTCGTACAACAGAATACAACTTGGATAAAATGTAATGTGTTGTATTGTATTTTAATGTATCCTTTCATTTCTGAGCATGCGTGGTCTTGCTCTTCCGATTCTGTTCAAATGAATACTGTACAAAAAAACGAAAATTGTACCATATGAAAAAAATGTAGTGTTTGCCCCTTCTAATAATTTCAGACAAAAGCTGTGTACTAACAATCAGATTATCGTACGATCGCTTCAAAAGCGGTATTTTTCGCCCTATTTTTTGATCGTGTGTACTAGGCTTTAACCTGACAAGTTTTTCTTCTATCCCTGGGACTCTGTTAGTGAGATCTCTGCTCCAAGTTCCTGGGTCTGCACACCTGCTGTGGCCATTATGAGGGGCTTCCACCACCCCTGATGAACTTCTTTTTATTTTAAATTATGGAGAATGTAAAAGAAGTAGCTGAAGCACCCCATTGTGGAGAAGGACATCTAAACCTCCCAGGTGGACAGGACCAGAGGTATGAATTAAGACAGTAAGGTACAGAACAGAGTGCAGTCACCATCAGTTAGTAGGGACAGAAGTCCTCCTGCACTGAAAGGAAGTCTACCTACTGAAAGCTGCCAACACTTCAACTGGTACCCAAACAGTGTGTAAAATAATCATAAATAGTGCAGCGCTTAAATCAATACTAAGTGCAATTCAAAAAAAATGTGCTCACATACAAACGTGTCAATATTATACAAATGATATTAAATATATTAAATAAATAAATAAAATGTATCTTGAATATATAGTGCCACTCAAAATAATCTCTTAACAATAGTGCCCACACAATAAAACAATAATACAAGCCCCCTTCAAAGGAGGATAATCAAACAGTGCTTAAGTGCAATAAAGTGACCACACTTCAAATACCACTCAAATAATCAAACAAAATGTCCATGAAGTATTCAATAGGTGATATAAAATTCATGCAATGTGCTGATAGTGCTTGTACTCCGTGAGCGTGTCCACACTCTTCACCTACTAAGGCTAAATTTGCCTCCTCACCTCCTCCAAGTGACCCCCAGGGGCTAAACAGCTTTCAGGATCACCCTGGATCCCTATTCCTGAAGACAAGTACCTCTCCTCATGATGTGGATCTCTTAAGGGACTCCCATTGCTCCAGACCGGAAGCTTCTGAAGAATAATGTCTCACCAACCCAGTGAGCCAAAAAAAAATCCTCTAAGTCAGCAGTTCTCAACCTGTGGGTCGCGACCCCTTTGGGGGTCGAACAACCCTTTCACAGGGGTCTCCTAAGACCATCGGAAAACACATATTTCCAATGGTCTTAGGAACCGAGACACCGCTCCTATATCAGTCTCCAGGCAGGTCCGCCCACATGCAGATACGTCCACATTTCCCTGGACGCGATGTGTGCGCGGGATGACATGCCGCCCCTGTCATCTGGCCACATCCCCGGGATCACTCAACAGCTCCGCCTCCTTGCCAGTGATTGGCCACCGGAACTGTAGCTCAGGAGAGGCACACAGGCAACCAATCACCGGCGAGGAGGAGGAGCCGAGCAGCAGCGCAAAGATCAAAGAGGATCGAGCGAGGAAGCGGCCGGAGAAGGAAGACAGCTGACAGGTAAGTGTCTGTAGCGTGCAGATGGTGCTGCTGCAGCCAGGTATGCTGGCTGTAGATGGGAGAGGGAGGGAGCAAGCCCAGGCTGGAGCAGGAGTCAGCAAGGTAAGTATCATTGGTGTCAGTAGGAGGAATAGTGCCGCATCATTGGTGTCACTAATACCAATGATGGGGCACTATTCCTCCCACTGACACCAATGATGGGGCACTATTTCCTCCCCCCCCCCACTGACACCAATGATGGGGAACTACTCCTCCCCCCACTGACACCAACGATGGGGCACTATTCCTTCCCCCACTGACACCAACGATGGGGCACTACCCCCCCCCCCCCCCCACTGACACCAATGATGGGGCACAATTCCCCCGCACACTAGTATCAATGATGGGGCACTATTCCCCCCCCACTGACACCAATGATTGGGCACTATTCCCCCCACTGACACCAATGATGGGCACTATTCCTCCCACTGACACCAACAATGGGGCACTATTCCTCCCACTGATACCAATGATGGGATATATTCCTCCCACTGATACAATGATGGGATACTATTCCTCCCACTGATACCAATGATGGGATACTATTCCTCCCACTGATACCAACGATGGGACACTATTCATCCCACTGACATCAGTGATGTGGCACTACTCCTCTCACTGACACCAATGATGTGGCACTACTCCTCCCACTGCAAAATTACAGTTATGAAGTAGCAACGAAAATAATTTTATGGTTGGGGGTCACCACAAACTGGAACTGTATTAAAGGGTCGCGGCATTAGGAAGGTTGAGAACCACTGCTCTAAGTGTAGTATTATTTTCACCAAGACTCTTTTTATTGCCAGTAAAAGAAAAACCCACTCACATGTTCCCGCAGTCCTCCTTCCTCACCAATGTGTGGGTGTACTGCATGTATAGGAACTTCCTGGGTATACCAAGATGGCGGCTGGCGGCGGAAGTGGGTCACCGTGCACTGGAAGCTGCATAATAGCGTACCTACGCGTTATGTCACAGGCTACTCGTGAATAACCCGAGGAAGTCACGAGTAGCTTGTGACGTAACGCGTAGGTACACTATTACGCAGCTTCCGGTGCGCGGTGACGCACTTCTGGCGCCAGCCGCCATCTTGGTATACCCAGGAAGTTCCTATACATGCATACACCCACACATTGGTGAGGAAGGAGGACTGCGGGATCATGTGAGTGGGTTTTTCTTTTACTGGCAATAAAAAGAGTCTTGGTGAAAATAATACTACACGTAGAGGATTCTTTTTTGGCTCACTGGGTTGGTGAGCGATTATTCTTCAGAAGCTTCCGGTCTGGAGCAACGGGAGTCCCTTAAGAGATCCACATCGTGAGGAGAGGTACTTGTCTTCAGGAATAGGGATCCAGGGTGATCCTGAAAGCTGTTTAGCCCCTGGGGGTCACTTGGAGGAGGTGAGGAGGAGGCAATTTAGCCTTAGTAGGTGAAAAGTGTGGACACGCTCACGGAGTACAAGCACTATCAGCACATTGCATGAATTTTATATCACCTATTGAATACTTCATGGACATTTTGTTTGATTATTTGAGTGGTATTTGAAGTGTGGTCACTTTATTGCACTTAAGCACTGTTTGATTATCCTCCTTTGAAGGGGGCTTGTATTATTGTTTTATTGTGTGGGCACTATTAAGAGATTATTTTGAGTGGCACTATATATTCAAGATATATTTTATTTATTTATTTAATATATTTAATATCATTTGTATAATATTGACACGTTTGTATGTGAGCACATTTTTTTTTTAATTGCATTTAGCATTGATTTAAGCGCTGCACTATTTATGATTATTTTACCATCAGTTAGTGAATCCACCCACCTCAGCTGCAGATCGATGTGCTGAGTGATCTTGCCCATATAGTACTGATAAGCACATCTGCTTCATCAGTCCTCCTTTACTGGTACTTAGTGATAAAGTACCCTTCTTAAGTTGGTGGTCAGTGACAAAACACTGCTGTCACCTTTAGGCGGTGGATCAAGTCACTGAACATTGCAGATCTGTGTGTCAAGTGATGGTGACTAATAATAAGTACCAATGCAAACATGCAGATCTCACAAATTTCTGGCAAAAATGCTATCACCATGTTGCTGGGGAAAATATAAATGTTATGCTGTGTCCCTGGAAACATGCTGGCAAAGAGTGCTGTTGATGCAAAACAAGGCCACTGTCAACCTTAGTGGATCATTTGAACACTAACTTTATATTTTTGGTGCCAAAATTATACAGTTACTGTTGGACAGTGAATTGACCTACCAACCAATGGTGACTGCAATGTTTCTGGCACCAAACATTTAATCCTGTTCATTGAACAAGCACACTTTTTAGTGTATATATAAAGGTGATCATATACTGTCATCTGAAGAGTGAATATACTCAATTTAAATAATAGTTTTCAATAACCAAGCTACTCGTGCATTATTTTTTAAAAGAGTACACAAATTTGAACTCCAAATTAAAGAAAAGTAATTTTCTCCCATTCAGGAAGTGAATTTACCACCGCTGGGATTGAGAGAAGCCAACCATGTTGAGCACAGGCCTCGACGAGGTTCTTGTAATCTGGTTCTATACTGAACTACAGCCATCAGGATTTGCAATCTGTCTGGATGGGCCTTTACAAAGCAGAACAATACAACATATCACCAACATGTAACATAACTGAAAAGAATCAGAACACAAGGAGAACAAATCACGCAACATGCACAGAACATGTTTGGATACCATACACCACTGATTACCAATCGTGATCAAAAGCAGAGGTTTCCAATAAAGATCCAAAATTACATTTCACTTTTATTTTGTTACATCATTACCAATCAGTCTTTTAAATGTTTGCCAATAATGTACAATATATTAAACCTGTTGTAGCACACTGTTTTCACAGGAGGAAAGCAGGACTTGGAATTTTCCCTGAGGTAGAGTGATAATATTTAATACTTTTCACCAGCTTCTCTTCTGTTCTTTTGCCAGCCTGTTCTTTCCCACTGTAATATGATGTTGCAACTTCCTATTCCTCATAAAGTGGCAATGTACAATATAAAATACACTGATGAATATATAGAATAATAAGCCAAGAAGAAGAAAGGGAAAAATCATATGGAAAATTATTATTACACTCAAAATGTGTACTAAATGAAATGGAAATACACCACAGTTATCTCTATAGCAAACCTGTGCTTTGCCTATTTAGGTAAAATTGGGCAGATTTGGTTTAACACTGACAATTCCCAGCACCATACACTTATCCTTTCTTACTTTCCTGGTGCTCCAACCAATTGGGAGCAAAAGAGATACCCAGTATTTTTGAGTATGGACTCACCCATGTGACAACGCTGGGCCAGTGAAAACTTAATATTAGAGTCCAAAGCCCTGTGTGAGCTATAATTCCAGTAACTGCAGTTCACACAGGCCTTTCATTTTGCTCCCAGCAGCTTAACAAAATTTCAGGGTAGGAAAAGGAAGGGAAGTATCTACGACCATGAACTTATAGCAGAAGGGTCCACTCAAATCTTCTGATTAATAGCTGTGTTTAGTGGCTGACAAGCAGCTGATTGCAGCCTTTCATTGAAAATCTGAGCGATGGCCATCTTGGGATGGATCAGGAGATTGGTTGATATGTCTGTCATATTTTCAGATCCTTCAATTTCCTGACTGGACACCAGAGTTCTAAGTACTATGTACTTTGGTGTTTATTCATAACTAAGCAACAGTAATGAATGGCATGTTTACTATCTCTTCAGTTTATGACTGAACACTGAAGTGCTCTGTACTGAGCACATCCATGTTCAGTGATAGTGAGTGGGGGATTGCAGAGGAGAAGGATAATAAGGACTTTGTGTCCTCAATCTCTTTCTCCCTTTCAAAAGATCTCAACTTATCCATCAACATCAATGCTCACAATGCAATGCATGCGGTTCTCACCTGTAAGGAGGAGGCAATGGAGAAAGCCCTGGGACGGATGCGAGGAATGAGGTCCAGGAGGTAGTCAACTGGAATGTTGCAGGTGGTGTGTGGGAAATCCACCAGGACCTGGTAGATCACAGAAGGGTTAGTATCAGACCCACTATCAATAGTGACACTCATTTATTTCAGTTATTTTGTTATTGGTTTGAATAAATTTGCAAATATTTTCAAAAATCAGGGCAAACAAATCTACAGCTGCTAGTAATTCTGTCCAGCTAGTCTTGTGATGTACACACATTTTTCCCACTACACAGCCAGACAGTCAGCATACATAAGCAATACATCTTCCTGGTTCACTAATCCAGCTTCCTGCATCACCTTGTGGATAGGCAGGGAGCTGGAGTTCCAATTGAAAGGATTACTTCATAGCTGTCTGAGACAGGCTGGTTCAGAGTTATTAATAATCAACCTGTCAAAAACACCTTTCCCCCACCCCCTGACTTTTTTAACATTACAATGCCTGCAAAATTTCAATTGCTCAAATAAGCCAGCTAATGAATCCCCACACAGCCCGTATCCCTGAGGGGTAGAATTTAAGAGGCTTGGCAAAAAACTAAGCATACTTCCAGGGTGGTGCGCCGGGGCCGGTTGCAATAGGTATACAATTCATCTTGCCCAGCAGAAGAGCTGAATTCCTGTAGCTTTTCCCTCTCTTGTTCATCCATTGAGAAGTAGGAAAGCAGCTGAAAGAAGGAGCGGCGAGGTACACAGCAGATATCCAGATACCTTTCCACTAGATAGCGCACTGTGCATGGCTGGGGTAACTGTGGGGGAAGTGGAGTGTCTGCAAGACATCAGAAGAATACACTGCAATAAGTACACAAACTAATTTGTATTTAATTACCTACTAATAACACAAAACACTGCTCATAACTATTGGGGAGCATAGCAAGAACGACTTGTGAAAAGAATTAGAATTTTACATATATTTGTATGCAATGTATGAAAGTGAAACCTTTGTGTTTTCATTTTTAGGGTTCTATTTGCTAGTTACAGCCAGTTACCCAGCTGTATACACTTTTCCTTGACTAGTTACAGGCTAAGTGCTGTCCTTTTGTTTTTCCTCTATATATGCGAGGTCGGTGCTGGCAATGTGAATGAGGTTCTCCACAGAATTTCTGGTTTTGTACTTCATAATAGCTGTCGTCTGATAGCTAACATCTTGGAATAGAGCTGGCGCTCCTCCAAATTCCTAAGCCGGCCATACCTGGTTTGAAACTTGGCCCGATCAGCAGGGAGCGGACGAATTTCAATACATCTATGGGCAGTACAGAAGTTGATCTACCTACTGACTTCTGTACAACCAGCCTGTTGGATTTTTCCTGGAAGTCTTCCTGCCGCCAGAACACAACAGCTCAGCGGGAAAGGATTCCCCCATCCACATTGAGTGTGCAGATGGGGAAATAGAGTCATTTATTTTCGTTCAACTCGCTGGCTGAACGAAAACAAGTGATTCATATATTGCCTAGCTAAGGCTCCAATCTGTGCACACACACACACACAGTATTTGGCTGGATAGAGTGGTGCTTATCTAGTGTCTAGAATAAAAATTATACATGTGCTCCTTCTTACATAGACTCCCCAAGAAGCCACTGCAGACACATCCATCTTGGAGGTAGACCCAGAATACACTGGCGGATAAGTGTTCATAGACTGTAAAATTGTTCATTTTTTCCTAGGCTGCCCTGTTTCAATCACAAGGTCAGTGCTTACCTGAATTTTGGGGCTCCACAAGAAACAGTCTCTTTGGATCAAGCTGAAGAAGAGTACAGAATTTCTCCACATCCTGCAAGGAATTCTGTGGCTGGATCATCACCACATCCCCAGGAGAAAACCTGCAGGCAGCAAGATCATTATGTGCCAATTAGACATTTATTATTTGTAGTAGAATGCATGTAACATGCTCTTCTTCAGCATGTCACAATCAAACAGGGAAAAAAATTTCCTTATAATGTTAAATCCATGCTGCCACCTAGCACAATGCAGCAGAAGTGTAGAGTTAAACCATGCGTGTTTGCTATCAGTATCTTTACCACAGGAGGTAAAAACTATTTTGCAGTAGTTAGTTATATTAGCAACTGTCTCTTTTACCACAACATCCTAATGACTGCTCAAGGCACTTAGACATGAAATGACAGTTGCAGCCTAATTAACCATGATTGGTCAGTTTAGCATAACTTACTGAATGCCAGACCCGCTAATATCAAACTCAATTAGCCTCACATCCTGGAAGTGATCAGCTGCAGTTACTTGCTGGTTGGACACCAATGAAGCTTGGAATGGGTGTAATTCTGTTGGAATCTCATGAGCATCAACTTTCTCTACAATACCATCCTCCGTTACTACTTCTTGGTCCAAAAAACGGAGAATAAACTTTGGAGGTAACCTGCAAAGCAAGAATATTTTAAACTCTTGGCTGAATATTTGTCAGGATTCTAAATGCAGTATATGCTACTCGTGACCTTATAGCTGTTTAGTTTTTTTGTTGCTGTATTCCCCTGACTAGAAAAAAAGATACACAATACAAAATACAACATTGTCCTGGAATTCAGCTCCAATTGCCATAAAACTATTAAACCTACTTCTAACTTACAGTTCAATTACAAAACAACAGAGAACAGCTACAAAAAATGCTTTGTGCAAGAAATTGCCTCCTGATTGTTAGCAGTGATGATATCCTGTATAGAGCCAGCTGGTGTCAGTATAGAACCATCGAGCATCTTGACGTCAAAGCCCCTTTCGAGCTTTGACCTCAGGATGCTCGATGGTTCTATACTGACACCAGCTGGCTCTACACAGGATATCATCACTGCTAACATTCAGGAGGCAATTTCTTGCACAAAGCACTTTTTGTACATTGATCGTGTGAGTGTACTACTTTATATTAATAAATGAGTGTTTAAGGATAAATCACTATGATCTGGGTATTCTCTTAACATACCCACCACTGGAGAAGAGCCATTAGATGAGCAAAAGGGATCCCATTCAGCAGGATACCATCCCATCCACATTTGGCCCAATTAAAGGGACACAGGCTGTAAATGACCTCACTTAACGGTTTTGGTCATATATTTGAGGTGAGAGCACAACCGGTGGGGGTGCACGAGTTTTGAAGTGAATTTTGACACTGGAGGTGAATTAAGAAGCACAGTTTTTCTGTATTTTAAAGATAACTCGAGAATTGTGAAGAATTGTATATGGACATTTTTTGATATTCACAGTGGATTTTTGTAAAATTGCACTATATAAAATTTGCACATATTCATGTATTTATAATTTATTGGCAATAGTGGACGTTGCACAATTTGGTAATTTGGTATTTATGTAATTAGGCACATTTGTATGAGTATGTGCTAGGTGCAGGCGATAAAATACGGTAATTTATATTTTGGTTTGGCACTAAGCATATGTTATAGCAGCTCACAAGTCTTAGATATACAGGCATACCTTGGTTTACGTATTTAATTCGTTCTGCGGGACTTTTCGTATAGCAGAAAATTTGTAAACCGAAATGCCGTTTCCCATAGGAATGCATTGAAAACCAATTAATCTGTTCCAGAGGTCAGGAAAAAGTAAACGCTACTAAAATACCGCATGAGTTATTTTATCAAGTCATGTGGTATTTTAGTAGTGACAACCATGTGTTACTGTTTCAGCTGTCAGTGGGGTTCCCCACTGACAGCTGAATGTAAAAGAATTGCTGGCAATTAAAAAAAATAAATAAATAAACGGCGTGGGGTCCCCCCCCTCCCATTCATACCAAGTCCTTCAGGTCTGGTATGGATTTTGAGGGGAACTCCCATGCCAAAATTTAAAAAAAAATGGTGTGGGGGTCCCCCCCAAAATCCATACCAGACCCTTATCCGAGAATGCAGTCCAGCAAGTCAGGAAAGGGGAAGGACGAGCAAGCACCCCCCCCCCCTCCTTAACCATACCAGGCCACAGGCCCTCAACATGGGGGGGTGCTTTGGGGAAGGGGGGCTCCCTCCTCCAAAGCACCTTGTCCCCATGTTGATGGGGACGAGGGCCTCTTCCCCACAAGCCTGACCAATGGTTGTGGGGGTCTGCGGGTGGGGGGCTTATTGAAATCTGGAAGGGGGCCCCCAGATCCTGCCCCCCCCTCCATGTGAATGAGTATGGGGTACATGGTACCGCTACTCATTCACAAAAAAACAAAAAGTGTAGTGTGAAAAAAGACAGGACACGGTCTTTGACAGTCCCTTAATAAAAGAAAAACCTAAAACAATGTCCCCGGCAGTAGATCCAACGTCAATCATGATGTCCGCTGCAAACCCGAAAAAAGAATTTTAAAAAAAGGCTCTGCTTCCGACGATAGCCCCCGACCATCTGCCTGCTCCGGTGGTTTGACAGTTCTTAAATATATATGGGGTGGGGCCACCCAGGGACATCAATTGAGTGACCCCACCCCATGTGACATCCCCCTTTCCTGAACTGCCAGGCTGGATGCTCAGATAAGGGTCTGGTATGGATTTTGAGGGGAACCCCCACACCATTTGTTTTTTGAATTTAGGTGTGGGACTTCCCCTCAAAATCCATACCAGACCCGAATGGCTTGGTATGGATGGGAGGGGGGATCCCACACCGTTTTTTAATTTATTACGGTGTTGGTTATTAAATGTAATTACCACTTTATTTTCCTTCACTATAGTTCAGAGATTCAGCTGTCACTTCCCCCCAGCTAAAAGAAAGAAAGTTCCCTTTTAGTTTATTTCCCCAGTTAAAAGAAACAATGTTTCCTTTTAGTTTCTTAACTCTGGGGAAAGTGACAGCCAATTCTGTGAGCAATAGTGAAGAAAAAAAAAGCCGGCAATTGCATTTAAAAATCGTCACCGACATACACTTCGTATTGCGAAAAAAATACGTAAAAAATTCATAAACCAAGGCATTATTTTCAATGGATTTCAGTTTGTAAACCGAAAATTACGTTAACCGAGGCGTTTGTAAAACCGAGGTACACCTGTAATTTTATCTTCTGGTCTTAGCTCAGAACACATTTATTCAGCTTAGATATACTATTCATATTTTACTATGCAATTAAATAAGTGGTGATAAAGAGTACTGTATTTGATATTAATGCAATGGCTGACAGCAGATATCTGCACAGGACATTTTTAGGTTACCACAATAATAATAATAATACTATCTTCAGTATTGAATTATCTTAGGAACAATGAGCTTATTTGTGCAGGAAAAAGACAAACGTCATCATCAAGGCAAAACAAAATCTGCCCCTGAATACAACAGAATCCTGAATGAAGAACCGCTTGCCTATCCAAATCATACTCCACAACAACAGAAATTCCCCTGCCTGAGGGAACTGACCTGATATCCTCACTGATTATGCTGATACCAGGAGGTAAGGGATACAGAGAGAGGACCTTATTCCATAGATTTTTCAGCCATGGATCCACTGCAGCATCTGGACTATATAAGAAAGCAAACACATAATGTCAAGTCATAATATTCACACTGATTAAGGACATCAAGTGTCAGTGTGCCTGGGGCCCCAGATGACAGTGTGCAATTGTTCTGGAACCCCCATGTGTCAGTGTTTCATTGCTCTGGGATCCCAAACATCAGTATGTCTTGACCCCCCAAATGTAAGTGTGTTCATAGTCCTGAAACCCGCAAGTGTCATTTTTCTGAGATCTCCAAGGGCTAGTGAGTTATTGTTCTGGGACACCCAAGGGTCAGAGTGCCTTTGTTCTGGGACCCCCAAGCATCAGTGTTTCATTGTACTGCAGTCAAGTGTCAATGTGTCATCCTTCTGTGACCTTCAAGTATCTCAGACAGCAAACGTGTTTCATCATTCTGGGATTTCAACTATAATTGTATTATTAGCTTTGATTCATTCAATTCTAATAGAAGAGACCCTAAACCTTAAGGAATGCTGTAATGGTCTTGATTAGTATTTTGCACTGCTTAAGGACTTTTGTTCTGGAACTCCAAAGTAAGTATGCGATTGTTCCATCCCCACTGGACAGATCACTGAATATACAACCCACTGTCTGATAATTACCCCAGATCGTGCTGATCATCTCCTAGAGCAGGTGACAGAATTGGGTTGGCACCCAGTTGGAGAAGCCGCTTGTGTAGTTTCTTGGCAATAAAGTTGAACCTGATATAATATGAATTAGTAGAAATATTAGATTCTGAGAAAAGACAAGCAATGCCGACATCAGATACTTTACTAGTTTCCACAGTACTCAGTTCACATTTATGTGGATTGGGTGCAGTTTGCAACGCATCCAATCCGCATGACATTTGAAATAACATGGTGCCTGTTCAAATATGTTCAGTGCACTGGCGGTGCGGAATCAGTGCGGTTTGAAAAAGAGTCATGTATAATTTCTGAGCAGTGCCATCAGGTTCAGGAGCAGATTACAAGCTACTGACTTCTATGGCAAATGGATTTGAAGATATTTAAAATGCATGAAAAAGCACTGCTCTCCTTTTTCCTTTCAAGCAACATCACTGTATAGGAGGAGGCAGAGCTATAAGACTACAACATCCTGGCATCTTTTAGGTCAATCTTTTTTTGAGAGAAATGAATGTGGGTGGTGCCAGGGAATTGATAGAACAGCGGAGAATACTCCTGTCACTGCTTTTTTTTCTGCTACATGGACCCCAGAGCCCAGCAGTTTGGTTTTGATGTCAATTAATGCACAAGGGCATGAAGGAACAAAAGCAAATTCACTAGACAGTGTTTGCTATGATGTCATTTTCCAACTTTTATCACAAACTTCCCGTTCTGGTTCTAAAATGGGTCAATCCTGGGACCAGTATTACAGCTGTTAGCAGACTGAAAGGAAACACCAATCTTCGGGCAAGAGTAAATATACTAAGAGAGTGTTATTGGATAGGAAAAAACAATACATTATGAAGAAATATGTAAAAATAATTAAAATATATGTCAACTATGATGGCCCTTACACTTCACAGCTAAGCTGTCTTTATGTACCAGGAGTGCAGCTCTTAATTGCACTAAACTTACTTTGGATAGGAAGAATCTCCAAGACCCAGAACAGCATAATCCATCCGACACAGGGAATTCTGAGGAAGGTTTCTGCGGAAAATAAACCTCCAGAAGTTCTGGAATGACATGGATGAGAAGATACAATGAAACACTTGGGGAGATTTACTAAAAATGCTTCACTCAGAATCTGGTGCACCTGTGCATGGTAGCCAATCAGCTTCTAACCTCAGTGTGTTCAATTAAGCTTTGGCAATAAAACCTGGAAGCCGATTGGTTTCTATATAGAAGTGCACCTCATTTTGCACTCTCCAGCTTTAGTAAATAAACCCCACTGAGTGGAATGCATTAGATCAGCACTGACAGGATAGTAAATTATTAGACTCCATAATGATTCCAAGTGTGTTTTCATTTTAACCGCCTCCCGCCCACCATATAGTGATATGACGGACGCAAGGTGATTCTCTCGTTCTGGGAGGACGTCATATGACGTCCTCCCATTCTCACCACGCATGCGCGGCTCTAGGAGCATGCAGCGTGGCGATCGACGGTGCGCTGTGTCCCTTGGACACAGCGGATCACCGATCTACGGAAAGAGCCGAAGATGTTGGCTCGGTCATGTAATCAGCTGTGTCCAATCACAGCTGATCACATGTAAACAGGGAAATGCCGTTTATCGGCATAATGATTCCAAGTGTGTTTTCATTTTAACCGCCTCCCGCCCACCATATAGTGATATGACGGACGCAAGGTGATTCTCTCGTTCTGGGAGGACGTCATATGACGTCCTCCCATTCTCACCACGCATGCGCGGCTCTGGGAGCATGCAGCGTGGCGATCGACGGTGCGCTGTGTCCCTTGGACACAGCGGATCACCGATCTACGGAAAGAGCCGAAGATGTTGGCTCGGTCATGTAATCAGCTGTGTCCAATCACAGCTGATCACATGTAAACAGGGAAATGCCGTTTCGGCATTTCTCTCCTCTCGAGCTGTCACGCTGACAGCTCGTGAGGACCGGCGAGACGGTAATCGGTTTTCCACGGAGGGGACATCTACACTGATCATCAGGGCACTGATGATCAGTGTGCCCTGATGATCAGTGTAGCCCCAGCAGTGCCACCTGTCAGTGTCCATCAGTGCCTTGTATCAGTGCCTCGTGCCAGTGCCCATCAGTGCCACTTATCAATGCCACATATCAGTGCCTACCAGTGCACATCAAGCCACATATCAATGCCCATTTGAGCTGCCTTTCAGTGTCACTTATCAGTGTCTGTCAGTGCCACCTATCAATGCCAATCAGTGCCACCTATCAGTGCTGCCAATCGGTGCCACCTATCAGTGCCAGTCAGTGCCGTCTATCAGTGCCAGTCAGTGCCGCCTATCAGTGCCAGTCAGTGCTACCTATCAGTGCCAGTCTGTGCCGCCTATCAGTGCCATATATTAGTGCCATGTATCAGTGCTGCTTTTCAGTGCCCATCAGTGATGCCTGTCAATGCCCATCAGTGCCACCTACCAGTGCCTCCTCATCAGTGCCACCTATCAGTGTACATCAGTGCAGCCTATCAGTGCCCATCACTGCAGCCTCATTAGCGCATATCAGTGAAGGAGAAAAATCACTTATTTACAAAATTTTATAACAAAAATTAAGCAAAAACTTTTTTTTTTTTTTCAAAATTTTTAGTGGTTTTTGGTCTAAGAAAAAATAAAAATCCCAGAGATGATTAAATACCACCAAAATAAAGCTCTATCTGTCACAACAAAATGATAAAAATTTCATATGGGTACATTGTTGTATGACCGCGCAATTGTCATTCAAAGTGCGACAGTGCTGAAAGCTGGAAATTGGCCTGGGCAGGAAGGGGGTATAAGTGCCCTGTAGGCTTGCGGTTAAACACTGCATCAGAAATGGTTGCATAGCATCAACTAAATTAGGTGATTTTACTAGCGTAATAAAGATTCCTCACTGTGCATAGTGAATAAGGAAAAGTGGGTTTTCCAATCACATGCATTAAAAAAAAATATATTTTTTTCCCTTGCACAAGATTGCTTCTTGTGAAAACCATTCAAAGGAAACACATCTTCATGGTATTTACTAGGGGAAAATGTACCTTGCTAAGTGAAGTTTCTTCTTCAAAGTATTCTCACTGTAATTTTAGAAGAAATATTTTTTTCTGAAAGCAAAACCATGTGATTTTTAGGTTATTCAATGGCACTAACATGTTTAAAATTTGCATGCTTGCTCTGCGTCTCACAGACTGGCAGGATTTATCCTGGACAAAATATACCATGGCCCAATGTTCAGCTCTGTGAGGAGACAGAGGCACAGACACAAGTTACACAGCAGTTGGTTTACTAAACAAAAAGAGGCTATTTACTTTGAATTCACTCTGACTATTCAATGCATGAGGGCAATTAAATGAACAGGGTTTTTTGTTAGAACATGATTGATTGCAGTGAACACAACTTCACCATATTTATTAAGCTCAGTTATTGTTTATTTATCTAAGTAAACAGCCTTTATTGCTTTATTGCACATTTTAATGCAGAGCATCAGGGAACAGCTAGACACTATTTACTTGTCAAAATATATGTGATCCAAGCACCCCTACCAGGCAACAAAGTCCTGTCCTGGACCTCCCTGTACACTTCAATGAAATTAGACAACACAAACGAATCCAGGACAAGCCCCAGATGGTGACTGGACAAGGAGGAACAGAAGAACACCTATGAGGCCAACCCTTCGCTCTCACCTCCTGTGATCCTGTTCCTAGTGTTAGCCCAACATCACTGTGCAAAACCACAGAGTACTGTGCAGGAATATGCAGGAGGCAAATATTAGGACATATTCAGGTGTTAGTTTTGCTTAACCATTAGCCGCCCGGCCTATAGCCGTTTGGCGGCCGCAAAAATGCATTAGCTTTCCGGGGTGTACGCCATTTGGCGTCCTCCCACACATGCGCAGTTCGCACGGTTGCAGAACCGCGCAGCGGCACAATCTGTCACCGGCCGTGTACCTCGGACACTGCCGATGACAGATCTGAGTACCGACCCCTGTTGCTGGTCCCATGTGACCTGCTGTGACCAATCACAGCAGGTCACATGACAGTTGTATACAATGGATAGCTTCATTCATGCCATCCATTGTATACTAGTGTCCAGCTGTGAATGGTCACAGCAGGTCACATGCACATGTCATGTGATTAGCTGTGGCCAAATCACAGCTAAGCACTAAAAAAAACCTGAATGAATCGATGTCATTCAGGTAAATGCTTGCTTATAGCAAAGTAATTCTTTGCTATAAGCAAATTGTGTAAAAAAAAAAAAAAATACTGATCACTTCCCCAAAGTAGTACAATGTTACTATGGTAACATTGTACTACTTTGGTCATAGTAAAATATGAAAAACAAATCTTAAAATTTTTTTAAAAAAAATGTAATAAAAAATTAAAAATAATAAAAAAAAACTAAAACAAATTAAAAAAAAATATATATATATATATTTTTTTTTTCATACTGTCACCAGTCAGTGTCCCTGTTCACCGCCATGCCAGTTATATGATGATGCTGTACTGCACTGGTGACAGTATGTAAAAAAAAAAAATAGTAAAAATAATTTCCGAAAAATTATGACAAAAAAAATACAACTTCAAAAAACTCGCCATTTCTCCTATGAAGTACGTCGGACTGTCTACTTTACAAAAAGGGGTCATTTGGGGGATATCTGTACTGTTCTGACATTCTTGGACCTCAAGAAATTAGATTGGCTGTCAGTACTTCAGGATTGATCAATTTCAGATCTATACCATAGTTTGTGAGCTCTATAACTTTCCTACAAACTAAATAATACATCCTAATTTGGGTTATTTTCACCAAAGACATGTAGCAGAATACATCTTGTCCTAAATTTATGAAGAACAATTATTTATTTGTAAACGTTTAAAACAAAACAAAAAAAACGTGTTTTTTTTTCAAAATGTTTGGTCTTTTTAAAAATTTAGCAAAAAGTAAAAACCCCAGCGGTGATTAAATACCACCAAAAGAAAGCTCTAGTTGTGTGAAGAAAATGATAAAACTTTAGTTTGGGTACAATGTTGTATGACCGCGCAATTGTCATTCAAAGTGTGAGAGCGCTGAAACCTGAAAAATGGCCTGGGCAGGAAGGGGGTAAAATTGCCCGGTATTGATTTGGTTAAAAATAAATATGTTTTATTGAAAGAGTAACTGAACCAAATATTGTGTTGTCATAACTAAAGTTCAGCTTAACAATTTTCAACAACTTCTAATTTACAATTATGTTCTTTTTACAATTTACCAATATGTCACTTACCCTCATATTATCTGGTGGGTCACCTTGTCCCGTTGTTGCACACACAAAGATGACTAGTGTTTCACGAATGAGATTCACCTGCAAAATGGTAATAACTACATAAGTGCAAAAATAATATTGGAAGATACACTATATTGCCAAAAGTATGCCTTTACACACACATGAACTTTACTGGCATCCCAGTCTTAGTCCGTAGGGATCAGTATTGGGATGGCCCACCCTTTGTACCTATAACAGCTTCAACTCTTCTGGGAAGGCTGTCCACAGTCTCCGCTTTAATACATCCCAAAGGAGTTCTGTTAGGTTGAGGTCAGGACTCTGTGCAGGCCAGTCAAGTTCCTCCACCCCAAACTCGCTCATCCATGTCTTTATGGACCTTGCTTTGTGCACTGGTGCGCAGTCATGTTGGAACAGGAAGGGGCCATCCCCAAACTGTTCCCACAAAGTTGGGAGCATGAAATTGTCCAAAATGTTTTGGTATGCTGACGCCTTAAGAGTTCCCTTCACTGGAACTAAGAGGCCAACCCAACCCCTGAAAAACAACCCCACACCATAATCCCCCCCCCTCCACCAAACTTTATACTTGGTACAATGCAGTCAGGCAAGTATGGTTCTCCTGGAAACTTCCAAACCCAGACAAGTCCATCGGATTGCCAGAGAAATGTGATTGGTCACTTCAGAGAACACGTCTCCACTGCTCTAGAGTCCAGTGGTGGCATGCTTTACACCACTGCATCTGACACTTTGCATTGCACTTGGTGATGTAAGGCTTGGATGCAGCTGCTCAGCAATGGAAACCCTCACTGCTGTTGTGTTAATCTGAAGGCCACATGAAGTATGGAGGTCTTTAGCTATCGACTCTGCAGACAGCTGGTGACTTCTGCGCACTGTGTGCTTCACCATGCGCTGACCCCGCTCTGTCATTTTACGTGGCCTATCACTTGGTGGCTGAGTTGCTGTTGTTCCCAGTTGCTTCCACTTTGTTATGATACCACTAACAGTTGACTGTGGAATATTTAGTAACAAGGAGATTTCACAGATGGACTTATTGCACAGGTGACAACCTATCACGGTACCACACTGGAATTCACTGAGCTCCTGAGAGCGACCCATTCTTTCACAAATGTTTGTAGAAGCAGTCTGCATGCCTAGGTGCTTGATTTTATACATTTTAAACATAATGGATAAATATATTATAAAAATTATAATGTAATAAATACATTAAATAGCAGGAAAGATAAGATGTTTTAAAAGTGCCCTTTCAAAAATACACACACACTAAGTGGTTAGCATTTCTGCCTAGCAGTACCAGCGTTGTTGGTTCAAATCCCAAACATGGCAAAACCTACCTGGAGTTTGCATGTTCTCCCTGTGCCTGTGTGGGTTTACCCCAGGCACTCTGGCTTCATCCCACACTCCAAGAAATGTTGGTAGGTTATTTAGGTCCTGTCTAAACTGGCCCTAGTATGTGAGTTAAGGACCTTAGATTGTAAGCTCCATGAGGGCAGGGACTGATATGAACATACAATTTTTATGTGAGTGCTAAATAAGTATCTGCAATAAATAGTGATGCCCCGATATATTAGCTGACGAAAATAGGGTTATCAGCATTTGCTGATAGAAAAAAAAAAGGTGCCAATAATGATAAATTACTTCAATGCAAAATTGTGTCCTATTGACTTCAATGCAAAAATGTCCCCTACTGACTTCATTGCAAAATTGTGTCCCATTGACTTCAATGCAAAAATGCCCCCTATTGACATTATTGCAAAAACGATTCTAAGTTTTTTTAATTTTATGTATATTTCATTTTATTTGCTGTCCAATTTGTGTGCGTTACTTTTAATAAAAGTTATTTTATGTTACTGGATTGTATTTTTTAAATTCATATTCATTTAAATTCATGATATTAATTAAAAAGTCAAATAAAACAATTATATAGAAAAAATATATATATTTTTAAAAAACTGTCCATTTGGTTTTCGGCCAAGTGCATCTTGAATTTTCAGTTTTAGTCCAGAATTTTCATTTCGGTGAATTTTTATTGGGGTATATATATTACAATTTACTCATATTACTGTTCAGATGAATTGTAATAGGATGGCACAGATAACTAATTAATTGACCAGCTATAGCCTGTTACATGACTTTTTCACACGTGTGGTGCGGATTGAAGCTCAGGTTTCACAGCTATTGATACAGTAGTTGTTCACAGGTTCATGTCAGGTTCAGGACAGGATTAGCTCAGGATCTTATCTTGTTCACACATATGCGGTTTATTAATGGTTCCCATAGAATTCCATTGACTGTAATCAGAACCTGAACCTGGCCACAATACTCAGAAATCGGACATGACTCTTTTTAAAATCGCACTGCCAGTGAACTGGACATATGTGAACAGACACCATAGGACAAAACACGAATTCTTCTGTGCTCTAGGACCCAGCAGGTGGCAAATAGATGGAACCAAAACTGGAAAAACAGCGACCACCAGTGCTTCAAAGGTTGTGCAGCTCCAAACAAGGCTGGGGAAGCCCGACCAACACTGCAAAGCGAAATAAAAACGAGAAGCGCACAAACCTTGCGCATTACCTCAGTAAACAGAAGTTTATTAAAAAGAAAGGTACTCACAAACAGCGAATAAAATCAGGCATGTAAGTCCTCACAGGGACTTCAGAGATAGAGGGCCAGCGCGAGTCCCATCGTGGGGGTAAGCACTCAGTTCATCTGACGCGTTTCGAAGGCCAGACCTTCTTCATCAGAGGTCTGGCCTTCGAAACGCGTCAGCTGAACTGAGTGCTTACCCCCACGATGGGACTCGCGCTGGCCCTCTATCTCTGAAGTCCCTGTGAGGACTTACATGCCTGATTTTATTCGCTGTTTGTGAGTACCTTTCTTTTTAATAAACTTCTGTTTACTGAGGTAATGCGCAAGGTTTTTGTGCGCTTCTCGTTTTTATTTCGCTTTGCAGACACCATAGGAACCAATGTTTTTTCATATGTCGTGAGGATTAGATGCGGTCATCCAATCCACAAATATGTGAACGGCACTGACTGAACTATGTGTTGGAGTAAACCCTAATAACTACAAGGAGAACATTCACAAACTAAACTCCAAGACACAATACCACCTGCATTATAGACATCATTGTAGAACAGCAAAATGTTTGCTGCAATAAGTTACCAGTGTATCTCACCCTCCACCAGATGTCAGTCACAGCACACAGTCAAAGCACTGATCTATAGTATTGCACATAGAATGTCTTTTTGACTTCCTTGGAGTGTGATGTCAGGGCTAAGATACAGAGTATCATTCTAAAGGATGTGTCTTTGGAAACATTCATATTTCAATCAGCCTGGACATGTTTATATATAGTATGCTACCCCACCAAAGATTATCTCAGTACATTTAATTTCTAAGAATAGGTTGCTGTCTTCTCCCCTGTATGATATCTGTATTGGAACACTGACCACGCTGTAGCTATCTAAAGCTTCCACTCTGCAGGCAAAGTGTCTCCGCCGGGCTTCTCTACCAATCCTGTCCGCCATATCCTCCGCTGTCCCTGTCTGACTTCCAAACAGTACCAGGATCTTCCTCTCGGCCATCTGAGATACCAGAAAAAAAGAAATATAGCATACAGTTATAGAGAACATGGGGGGGTACATCTGCATTGACAGAAACATGTATGTCTGCTTCACACTGTTCTATTGATGTGCCTGACGCATAGTCTCCCTCCTCCTATCCATGTTATCCTACTCCCCCAACTTCCTGTCCTATTCTCCCCAAGTCTCCTTCATCCCCTTCCCATCTCATTATTCTTACTGCCCCCTCTACTCGATCCCATTCTTTCCAAGTCTTAACTCCATCCTCAGTCCCATGCTTCCCCTGGCCCCCTCGTCCTATTCTACTTGTGTCAACCCCCTTCCTCCATATCATTGTTCTCTTGTACCCCCTTCCTATTTTCCTTCTGTACCATACCCCCCCCCACCCCCCCATACTCTTCATTGTCTACTTTTATTCTCCTCCTATGCTCCCTCCCCCCATTTCATTCTTCCCTTGTCACACAGCTCCCTCTATCTCCCTCCCTACTCTTCTCATTTTTCTACCCTCCCATCTCATTTTCCTCTTGTCCCCCTCATGCCTGTCTAATACTCCCTATGTCCCCTTCTTCTCTTTTCCCATCCACGTAACTCCTTCTTCTGTCCCATTCCCTCCTCTTCCTCCTCCCCCGTCCCATTCTCTCCTCTTCTCCCTCCACCAGTCCCATTTTCTCCTCTTCTCCCTCCACCAGTCCCATTTTCTCCTCTTCTCCCTCCACCAGTCCCATTCTCTCCTCTTTCCCCTCCCTCTGTTCCAGTTTATCCTCTTCCTCCTCTCCTCTTCCCCCTTCACCAGTCCCATTCTCTCCTCTTCCCCCTCCCCCCATCCCATTCTCTCCTTCTCCTCCTCGACAGCCCCATTCTCTCCTCTTCCCCCTCCCCCCCCTCCCATTCTCTCCTCTCCCCCCATCCCATTCTCTCCTTTTCCTCCTCCAACAGTCCCATTCTCTCCTCTTCCCCATCCCCATTCTCTCCTCTTCCCTCGCCACCCGTCTCATTCTCTCCTCTTCCATCTCCACCAGTCCCATTCTCTCCTCTTCCCCCTCCACAAGTCCCATTCTCTCCTCTTCCCCTTCCACCCATCCCATTCTCTCCTCTTCCCCTTCCACCCGTCCCATTCTCTCCTCTTCCTTCTCCACCAGTCCCATTCTCTCCTCTTCCTTCTCCACCAGTCCCATTCTCTCCTCTTCCCCCTCCAACAGTCCCATTCTCTCCTCTTCCCCCTCCCCCCGTTCCATTCTCTCCTCTTCCCTCTCCACCAGTCCCATTCTCTCCTCTTCCCCCTCCACAGTCCCATTCTCTCCTCTTCCCCCGCCACCCATCTCATTCTCTCCTCTCCCCCAGTCCCATTCTCTCCTCTTCCTCCTCCCCCAGTCCCACTCTCTCCCCTCTCCACCAGTCCCATTCTCTCCTCTTCCTTCTCCACCAGTCCCATTCTCCTCCTCTTCCCCCTCCACCAGTCCCATTCTCTCCTCTTCCCCCTCCCCCTGTTCCATTCTCTCCTCTTCCCTCTCCACCAGTCCCATTCTCTCCTCTTCCCCCTCCACAGTCCCATTTCTCTCCTCTTCCCCCGCCACCCATCTCATTCTGTCCTCTCCCCCAGTCCCATTCTCTCCTCTTCCTCCTCCACCAGTCCCCACTCTCTCTCCTCTTCCCTCTCCACACGTCCCATTCTCTCCTCTTCCCTCTCCACAAGTCCCATTCTCTCCTCTTCCCCCTCCACAAGTCCCATTCTCTCCTCTTCCCTCGCCACCCATCCCATTCTCTCCTCTTCCCTCTCCACCAGTCCCATTCTCTCCTCTTCCCCCTCCACAAGTCCCACTCTCTCCTCTTCCCTCTCCACCCATCCCATTTTTCTCCTCTTCCCTCTCCACCAGTCCCATTCTCTCCTCTTCCCCCTCCACCAGTCCCACTCTCTCCTCTTCCCTCTCCACCTGTCCCATTTTCTCCTCTTCCCTCTCCACCAGTCCCATTCTCTCCTCTTCCCCCCCCTCCACCAGTTCCATTCTCTCCTCTTCCGCCTCCACAAGTCCCACTCTTTCCTTTTCCCTCTCCACCTGTCCCATTTTCTCCTCTTCCCTCTCCACCAGTCCCATTCTCTCCTCTTCCCCCCCCTCCACCAGTCCCATTCTCTCCTCTTCGCCTTCCACCCGTCCCATTCTCTCCTCTTTCCCTCTCCACCAGTCCCATTCTCTCCTCTTCCTCCTCACCAGTCCCATTCTCTCCTCTTCCCCCTCCCCCCGTTCCATTCTCTCCTCTTCCCTCTCCACCAGTCCCATTCTCTCCTCTTCCCCCTCCACAGTCCCATTCTCTCCTCTTCCCCCTCCACAGTCCCATTCTCTCCTCTTCCCCGCCCCCCATCTCATTCTCTCTCTCCCCCAGTCCCATTCCATCTCTCTCCTCTCCTCCTCCCCCAGTCCCACTCTCTCCTCTTCCCTCTCCACCCGTCCCATTCTCTCCTCTTCCCTCTCCACAAGTCCCATTTCTCTCCTCTTCCCCCTCCATAAGTCCCATTCTCTCCTCTTCCCTCGCCACCCGTCCCATTCTCTCCTCTTCCCTCTCCACCAGTCCCATTCTCTCCTCTTCCCCCTCCACAAGTCCCACTCTCTCCTCTTCCCTCTCCCAGTCCCATTCTCTCCTCTTCCCCCTCCACCAGTCCCATTCTCTCCCTCTTCCCCCCTCCACCAGTCCCACTCTCTCCTCTTCCCTCTCCACCTGTCCCATTTTCTCCTCTTCCCTCTCCACCAGTCCCATTTCTCTCCTCTCCCCCCCTCCACCAGTTCCATTCTCTCCTCTTTCCCCCTCCACAAGTCCCACTCTCTCCTTTTCCCTCCCCACCTGTCCCATTTTCTTCTCTTCCCTCTCCACCAGTCCCATTCTCTCCTCTTCCCCCTCCACCAGTCCCATTCTCTCCTCTTCGCCTTCCACCCGTCCCATTCTCTCCTCTTCCCTCTCCACCAGTCCCATTCTCTCCTCTTCCTCCTCCACCAGTCCCATTCTCTCCTCTTCCCCTTCCACCCGTCCCATTCTCTCCTCTTCCCCTTCCACCCGTCCCATTCTCTCCTCTTTCCCTTCCACCCGTCCCATTCTCTCCTCTTCCAGTCCCACTCTCTCCTCTTTCCCCCTCCACCAGTCCCACTCTCTCCTCTTCCAGTCCCACTCTCTTCTCTTCCCCCTCCACTAGTCCCATTTTTCTCCTCTTCCCCCTTCTTCTGCCCCATTTTGTCCTTGCCACCCCTACTCCCAATTCTTTCTGTGTACCCCCCCCCCCCCCCCCCATGCAGATTTGCCAACCGTCAGGAAATTTACAGACAGTTTGTAGAAGTGATTTTTTATGTCTGTAAATATCTGATCGTTTCTCATGCTGCATTGACCTTAGTAAATGTAAACCAGTTAAATGACTTGCTATGGGTCAGTGTTTCCAGACTGTGTTTATACTATGGAAATATGGATGGTCTTAGTTTTCAACGTCATTTTTCAGGTTGCCAGTAAAAAATTGTGCTCTGTCAGTATGTTTTAATAGTATGTTCCATGTTTTAATCATTTTAATAGTATGTTCCATGTTTTAATCATTTTAATAGTATGCTCCATGTTTTTCAGTATGTTCCATGTTTTCATAGTAAGAACTGCCGCAGGTTGTCAACACTATGCTCCTATCTTCTCTCCTTGTCCTCCCCTCCCCTCCTTCCCTGTCCAATCTTCTCCATGACCCCCTCACTATTCCCCTTGTACCCTATTTATCATCCCTCAGCTGCTCCCCCACCCTTCATCTCTCCTCACTGCCCCGTTCATTAACCCTTTCCCTCCAGTGTCTCCCTCTGTTCTATCTCCCCATTGTCCGCCCTCACCTGTCCCCCTGAGCCCTCCATGCCGGCACACACTCAGGACACACAGGGTGACACTGGTCCCTCCTCCTCCCCCTGCACAGTCACTGACCCTGGCGCACTGAGATGACGTGTGGGGCCAGTGATGGCGGAAGTGAGAGGAGCGGGGCGGCTCTGGATGTCGGTGAGAATGAACGTTGCGGTGTGTGTGGAGCCCCGTACCCGGAGAGCCCTGTGTTCTCCTCCATAGAACAGTTGTTGGGGGCTCTCTGTATTGGTTGGAGCCCCCCCTGTATTGGGGGGACACAGTATGTTAGTGTTGAGGATCTTTCCAGAGCTCCTCTGACTGGTGTACAGGCCCCCCAACACCTACCCCCCCCCCCCCTCCATCCAGGGCCATTTGTGGAATGGAAGCTCATTACTCCCGAGCTCCTTCTTACAGCTGCTATTGGTCTGAATGAAGATTCTCTGCACACTGGATGGCTGGTCAATGGCCTTCAAAATGGTGCTTGCCTTTAACATTCAGTTTTGGAACAAATGAAAGCCACCTGCAGTGTTAGGCCTCGATCACAGAGGGCGTAGTAGAGCGACCACCCAGCTGAGGGCCAGGCTTGTCTGCACAGGACACATGGCTCATTCCAGTCAGGCCGTCCCATTCATGTCAATTGGGATGCAGCAGCTGCATGGACACGGTCTCTGCTCCCAACCTGACAGCCATGTGCGGGTTGTCTCCTCATCCCTTTAAAACTGAACACATATTACTGTATTTTTTGCTCCGTAAGACGCACCTGACCATAAGACGCATCTAGGTTTTAGAGGCGAGAAACAAGAAAAAAAAATATTCTGAACCAATGGACTGCAGACATAGTACAGGAGATGACCAGAGACTGCGGACACAGTACAGGAGATGACCAGAGACTGCGGACACAGTACAGGAGATGACCAGAGATGCGGACACAGTACAGGAGAGACTGACTGCGGACACAGTACAGGAGATGACCAGAGACACAGCAGGAGGACAGAGACACAGTACAGGAGATGACCAGAGACTGCGGACATAGTACAGATGACCAGAGACTGCGGACACAGTACAGGAGATGACCAGAGACTGCTGACATAGTACAGATGACCAGAGACTGCGGACACAGTACAGGAGATGGAGATGACCAGATGACCAGAGACTGCGGACACAGTACAGGGGATGACCGGAGACTGCGGACACAGTACAGGAGATGACCGGAGACTGCGGACACAGCACAGGGGATGACCGGAGACTGCGGACACAGTACAGGAGATGACCGGAGACTGCGGACACAGCACAGGAGATGACCGGAGACTGCGGACACAGCACAGGAGATGACCGGAGACTGCGGACACAGCACAGGGGATGACCGGAGACTGCGGACACAGCACAGGGGATGACCGGAGACTGCGGACACAGCACAGGGGATGACCGGAGACTGCGGACACAGCACAGGGGATGACCGGAGACTGCGGACACAGCACAGGGGATGACCGGAGACTGCGGACACAGCACAGGGGATGACCGGAGACTGCGGACACAGCACAGGGGATGACCGGAGACTGCGGACACAGCACAGGGGATGACCGGAGACTGCGGACACAGCACAGGGGATGACCGGAGACTGCGGACACAGCACAGGGGATGACCGGAGACTGCGGACACAGCACAGGGGATGACCGGAGACTGCGGACACAGCACAGGGGATGACCGGAGACTGCGGACACAGCACAGGGGATGACCGGAGACTGCGGACACAGCACAGGGGATGACCGGAGACTGCGGACACAGCACAGGGGATGACCGGAGACTGCGGACACAGTACAGGAGATGACCGGAGACTGCGGACACAGCACAGGGAATGACCAGAGACTGCGGACACAGCACAGGGAATGACCAGAGACTGCGGACACAGTACAGGGAAAATACCAGGGACATAGTACAGATGACCAGAGACTGCGGACTTTTGGGGAGGGAGGGGGAGCGGGTACCTGAATTTGACAGGTACCCGCTCCCACTTTCGGGGAGTTATCCTTCCCTCTTCTTCCCGCGCCAGCTTCTGTGACAGCCGGGTGCCCACTGCGCATGCGCGAGAAGCGCTGCACTTTGTGAATGGCCCGGCGCCTTCTGGGACCTGTCGTGTGCAGTGGGCACCCAGGTATCACAGAAGCCAGCGCGGGAAGACTGTACAGCGCTGGAGCGAAGAACAGGTAAGGCCCTGCAGGAGAGAAGAGCTGAGTGGCCGGCCCGATATTCTGACACGGTGACGGCAGAAATACCGGACCGGCCGCTTTATATTCGCTCCATAAGACGCACTGAAAAAAGTGCGTCTTATGGAGCGAAAAATACGGTAATTACACAGGTTCTGTAGCTGATTACGGTGGTAAATAAACTCACCTAGTGCCTTATCTGCACTATATCAGCCTCAGAATCTATGTAATTAATGTGTTTGGGTTTAAAGGGATGAGGTGGCAACCCTTGTGGGGGTGCGGGTCCCAAACAGACACTGCCCATGGTCAGGGACACCCCTTCCCCCCCAGATGGATGTCAGATTGGGAGCAGCGTCTGTATTCCTGCAACCACTGCATTGTGATTGACATCAATGGGTGTGCGCTGTACTGCTCCCCAAATCTGATTGTCAGTATAACTTTCCTAACTGTTCTAAAATCAATCAGATGTACTTAAAGCGGAGTTCCAGTTGGATTAAAAATAAAAGTCAGCAGCTACAAAATCTGTATCTGCTGACTTTTAAAATACAGCCACTTACCTGTCCCTCGTTCCAGCGGTGTCCTCACCACAGCTGTCTTCTCTCCCGGGAGCCGGCATCTTCAGTGTGGGCACCCCGCTGTGACAGCTTGCAGCTTCACAGCTGGGTGCCCACTGCGCATGCGCGAGTTGCACTACACCTAGTGAACAGTCCCTTGACAGGTCCCAGAAGACTATTGGGAGGAGGGAGGACACCTTCCGCTTCTGTTCGTCTTGGGCGATCACACCAGAAGTGGGAGTAGGTATCTGTCAAATTCAGGTACCTGCTCCCCAAAGGTGCCAATCCTTAATGGGGAGTGTCTTAAAGCGGAACTTCCCCTTTTGGGCGGAGCTCCACTTTAAATTGATCATTTTTGCACAAAAATCTACAAGTGTATGCCCAGCTGTAGTTCATGATGACTTTCCTATTTTAAAAAAAATGTACAGATCACCAACCTAAAAACCACAAATGTACTTTTGTCATTTGTTTGCAGGAAATAGTTTTTAGTGATGTCTCAGGAATCTGTGTTATTTACACCGTAAACAGCTCCGATTTCTGCTTTCCTTGGTAGATGTCTCCAGAAACTTCTCCTTTATCCCTGCTGATCATAATGTGAGCATAAAAGTGATATTAAAAGTAGAATTAAAAAAAAATTACAAGCATGTCATACTTTCCTGCTCTGTGCAGTGGTATTGCAAAGAGCAGCCCCGATCCTCCTCTTCTCGAGTCAGCATTCTTGGCTCCTCCTCTTCTATGAGTGCCCCCATAACAAAACGCTTTCTCTGAGGACACTCGTGTGCTCGCTCCCGAGCCCCAATGTGTGTCCATAAAACACACAGAACGGGGCTTGGCTCTGCCCCTGCTCCCACCTTGCTGGCTGTGAGTGAGAGCTGCAGGAAACAATGTCTTCTGCTGCTGTCTCTCAGCCAGTAATAAGGCAGAGACCCAGGAGAGCAGCCACTCTCATGCACATTGCTGGATCGTGATTGGGCTCGGGTAAGTATTAGGGGGGACTGCGGGGGAAGCTGCATACTAAATATTTTTTTCTCTAACTGCATAGAATGCATGAAGGTAAAAAAACCTTTAATCTTTGTGAATTGACTTTTACATAAAATAAACCATGAACATTATAATTAAAAAAAAACCCATTGATTCAACAAAGTTCGACCATAAAACCAACAATAAATTTAATACTTAAAGGTAACTCTAAATTTAGGACCGTTACACCCTTATTTAGGATGTTATTTGTAACACGGTGCCTAGCAGAGTAGACAGACTTGTAGTTGTCACTGGACTACAAGTGCTGTGATCACCATATTCATAGCCCATTGATACTTCCTCCAGCTCTCTAACTGAACTGTACAGAGGAACAGACAGAGAGGAAGAGTCTGCAGGAGCCTGACATTACACCTACGATCGCAATGCTTTGCAAGCTGATTTTTTTCTACAAAAGGTGGACTTAGCCTTTAAAGCCGAACTGCAACTTTGGGTCAGGGAAGGCAAGAATTAAAACTACCATCAAGTTTTAATTTTTTTCTGTTACACTGATGAGAGAAGGTTTGGAGATCAATAAAAATAAATCAGTAATCAATGTCAGGTTGTTGCTTTTGGTCAAAAGTGGGGATTCTTTATTTATGCAGAATTCCAGGCTTAAAGAAGAATTCAAAGTATGGATATTTTATACATAGTTACATAAGTCCAGCTTGGACCACTATAACTACGCATATGCTATACCTGGCTGATCCCCATTGAAATCACTGAAGTAGATACTGCTACTCCATTGATCACCACTTGTTTTCTGGTCCCGTGCCAAAGAGTTGGCCTTCTGCTTACTGAGCACAGGATACCAACCACTTGGAAAGGGCACCATTCAGGGAATGCTCTGCATTTTCTGACTGATTGCAAAGCATTCTTTGATTGGACGAGGTGGAGAAGCAGGGCAGTGACATCACACTCTCCACCTCATCTAATCAGAGAATACTTTGCATTCATTGAGAAAATACAAAGCATTCTTTGAATGGTGCCCATGACAAGCAGTTGACCTCTTGTGTTCAGTAAGTCTGCTGCAGAGTGCGGGACCCAGAAGCAAGTGGAGATCACTGGAGTAGCAATGTCTACTTCAGTAATTTCCAGCTTCCCAAGGCTTCAGTCATGTACATACAGTAGTAGTCATGTCATGTACATACATACAGTAGTTACAATGGGCCAAGCTGGACCAATGTAACTATGTATAAAATATCCATACCTGGAGTTATTTTTTAATACAGGGTTGAAACAAAAGATTTAAAACTCTGTCCAACCCATTTTGTGATTCAGATATTACACACAGGTAGGTGACACTCTACTGTTATGGTTTGTCTTTTCAGCTTGCTTTGTCACCACTACCTACCTGCTCATTACACAATCATATTACCTCTTATCAGCTAGCAGAAAGCATTCCTTTGGCAAGGAAAATAGTGAGCATATATGTGTTTGACCTCAAAACATTGGGAATGCCTCTCCAAAGTTGCACCACTTTGTATTTGTATGTTATATTAGCCAAGATGCTCACACTAAGTTTTTATCTACTTAGGCTCACCACTGAACTGAATCAGACTGGTACTGTATTCCAATGCTGAAGTCAGAGTGGCCATTTTCCTGATCCAGCGCCATGCTGTTCTCTTTGCGGGAGCTGGTCCAATGGCTGGGGTTCGCCCAGTTTGAGATCTTCATCCACATCTTGGCCTTGCTGATATTCACCGTCCTGCTGGCCATCAAAGTAGATGGGCTTGTCCCCAGCCTAGGGTGGTGGAATGTCTTTATTCCTTTTTTTGCCGCCGATGGACTGAGCACCTACTTCACCGCCATTGTCACCGTGCGGCTGTTCCAAGAAGGAGAGAAGCGCCAGGCTGTGCTGCGCCTCTTCTGGATCCTCACCATTCTCAGCCTCAAGTTCGTCTTTGAAATGCTGCTATGCCAGAAGCTGGTGGAACAGGCCAAGGAACTGTGGTTTGGACTCATCATGTCTCCCATCTTCATACTTCTCCAGCTGCTCATGATCCGAGCTTGTAGGGTCAACTAAATGAGCAAAACACGGTTGTATTATATTGTTTCCCCTCTCAAGTATCTTTTCCTGTATGTTTATTTATTAAAACTTTAACCATAGGATCACCATGAATATGTTTTTTTTCTGTTGTTCACTTAAAATGTATTAAATGTGAATAAAAGTTCCCTATAGGACTGAATGGAGATTGTGGTGCAAAGGAGGGAATCTTTAGAATAGGCAGTATATAATACAGAGGGGGCCACACTGCAAGATCTTGACAGGCCAGAGACAGCTGAGTATATGTTTTGGGATGGGTGGGTGGGCATCCCAACAAGTGTAACATGTACTTCAAATCTGAATTCCAGGCAGACACTAAAAAAACCAAATCTTCAAAATCAATATTAATTATTTATTGGAAACATTCCATGTATTTTACAATTAACAATGTAAACAGTATAAATCTCTGAACTTGATTTGATTTCAGCTTTCTGTATTACTTTGGACAGTAGGTGTACTAGGAGAGAGCAGAGATTGTCTTGCTGCTCCTTCACTGTCCGGGTCACAGGCTGGGGGCAGGGAGGTGACCAAGCTTTGATGCTTTACTGCAATAGTGAAAAATCGGATCTTCAGTCTCGCAGTGATGGACAGAAATATAAATCGTTTGGCATTTAAATATGTGTATATCAACTGTGTGCGAAAAGATTGCTTCCTATGTATCCCATTCACACTGCAATGCAGCCTAGAGCTGTGCTGTAGACATGCTGCATTTTATCGCAGGGCACCGTGCTGAATCGCATGGCACTGTATAGCAGCCATCCAGCTGCCATACATTGCCATGAATGAAGTGTATGTTTTGTACACTTCAGATAAAGTTTTGGTTTTTTTTTAAAAAAAAAGGAGCCATGTGAATTTTATAGCGCTGTCCATGCAATGAACTGAATCCTGCACCACACCTCCCTCTACCACAGCCAGGAATGGACAGCTGCCAGAGTGGTAAAGTGCTCCAGCAGTGCTTCATTGCTATGTGAACCTGGCTTAACCACTTGCCCTCCTGAGGATTTACCCCCCTTCATGACCAGGCCATTTTGTGCGTTACAGCACTGCGTTACTTTAGCTGACAATTGCGTGGTCATGCAACGCTGCACCCAAATGAAAATTACGTCCTTTTTTTCCCCACAAATTGAGCTTTCTTTCAGTGGTATGGATGATGGGATTTTTTTTTCTACTAGTAATGACGGCGATCAGCGACTTTTAGCGGGACTACGGCGGAGATTCTGACACTGGAGAGGAACTAACTTGGTGTCACTGACACCCCAGTGACACCAATACAGTGATCGGTGCTAAAAAAAAAAAGCAATGACACTGGGCAGAAAGGAGTTAATGTGAGGGACGATCAAAGGGTTAACTGTGTGCTGGGAGTGTTTTACTAGGGGGAGGGGCGGTTGTGTTCTTTACTGTAAGCACACTGATCGGGATGGCTGTACTGTGCACAGCCATCCCGAGTCGTGTGTTCGAGCTGACAGGGAGGAAGACTGTTTGCAAACAAAACAATCTTCCTCCTCATCGGAGATGCTCGGTAATCACCAGGCGCCGGTGGATAATTACCAAGCTTGACATCCGCGGCTACGAATGGCGGCGCAAGGTGGGGTGCGCGCACGGATCGTGTGCACCCCCTACCCGGAAATGCAGAATGACGCATATATACCTGATCCTGTGCACAGGTGCCGCCCTGTAGCAGTATATCTGCTATAGGGCAGTGCTTAAGCGATTAAGGAATTCCTGGCTGTCCCCAGGGTCACCAAAGCTAGTCTCTTTATTGGAAGATTTCCTCTCTGTTCCCTTTCTGGTGACAAGCAAAAATGTGGGATTTTCCTTCACTTTCGCACTCAGTGATAACAGTAAACAGAACAAATAGAGTGAGTGAATCTCCCGGGGACACAGATAGCAATAAAAACTGACAAGCATTCTAATCCCTCCACTCCATTCAGCTTTAGTTACAGGTGCATCTCAATAAATTAGAATATCATCAAAAAGTTCATTTATTTCAGTAATTCTATTCAAAAAGTGAAACTCATATATATAAATTCATTACACACAGAGTGATATATTTCAAGTCTTTCTTTCTTATAATATCGATGATTATGGCTTACAGCTAGTGAAAACCTAAAGTTCAGTAACTCAGAAAATTAATACAGAAATGTTGGCTAACTGAAAAGTATGTCCATGTACATGTATAGTATGCACTCAATACTTGGTCGGGCTCCTTTTGCACGAATTACTGAACCATGCGTGGCATGGAGGTGATCAGCCTGTAGCTCTTCTGCATTGTTGAGTCTGGTGTCTCACATCTTCCTCTTGATGATACCCCACAGATTCTCTATGGTGTTTAGGTCAAGCGAGTTTGCTGGCCAATCAAGTACAGTGATCCCATGATCATTAAACCAGGTATTGGTACTTTTAAAAGTGGACAGGTGCCAAGCCATGCTGGAAAATGAAATCAGCATTTCCATAAAGCTGGTTAGCAGAGGGAAACATGAGGTTCTCTAGAATTTCCTGGTAGAGGGCTGCACTGTCTTTGGACGTAATAAAGCACAGTGGACCAACACCAGCAGATGACATGGCTCCCCAAATCATCACTGACTATGGAAACTTCACACTGGACCTCATGCAACTTGGATTCTGTGCCTCTCCACTCTTCCTCCAGACTCTGGGACCATGATTTCTGAATGAAATGCAACATTTACTTTCATCCAAAAAGAGGACTTTGGACCACTGAGCATCAGTCCAGTCCTTTTTCTCCTTAGCCCAGGTAAGATGCTTCTGACGTTTCTGGTTCAGGAGTGGCTTGACAAAAGGAATGTGACGATTGTAGACCATGTCCTGGATATGTCTGTGTGTGTTGGTTCTTGAAGCATTGACACCAGCCGTAGTCCACTCCTTGTAAATCTCCCTCAAATCCTTGAATGGCCTTTGCTTCACAATCCTCTCCACTGCAGTTATCTTGTTGCTTGTGCACCTTTTCCTACCACACTTTTTCCTTCCACTCAACTTCCCATTAATATGCTTGGATACAGCACTCTGTGAACAGCCAGCTTCTTCAGCAATGACCTTTTGTGACAGCCTCCTTGTGGAGCATGTCAATGACTGTCTTTTGGACCACTGTTCAGTATTTTTTGAGATACTGAATTTTGGGTTTTCACTAGCTGTAAGCTATAATCATCAAAATTAAAAGAAAGAAATGCTTAAAATATATCACTCTGGTATAAAGAATCTATAGAATATATGAGTTTCACTTTTTGAGTTGAACTACTGAAATAAATAAAATTTTTGATGATATTCTAATTTATGGAGTTGCACCTGTATATATTAAGTCCTATCTGCTCCTATACTTGCCACATAAATCAACTTCTCAGTGGAAAAAAGCAGTGGTCATTGCCCTACATTGTGGTAAGTACACCTGGTATTAGAACAATGTGAAGACCGCCATTGTTGGCTGCTTTCTGGATATGCTCGTTGTCTGGCTCTATAACTCTTGAATTGCACACTTTAAACAGATATGAAGCAATATAAAACACAAAGGTGCGGTGCTTCGGATGATCACAACAAAATAAAAGAAAATATATAAAATTAAAGTCCAAAGGTGTCTGGTATAGATAGAGTTAGAGGCCTCTTTACTGGAATAGTAATAATGTCATATAAATTTCCCAATAAAAAGGTCCAATAGGTTGGGAGAATCTATCATCACCAACACCCCAAAAAATGCTTCTTACCAGACCATAATGACCCCTCAATTGAGTATGGGTCAAAAAGTGCTTTTATTTTGTTGTGATCATCCAAAGCGCCGCACCTTTGTGTTTTGTATATTTATGTGTTGCCTGCAATACTGTGGTGGCTGCTTATTTGTATCAATTTATTTGTGTCATTTATATATTATAGCGCGGAAGTATCTAAATTATCAGACATAAAGCAATGAAAAGCAGGATTCCTAATGTCAACTTGTTGCATCTCAGAAAATACTGATGCAAATCATTAGTGTTAGCCAGGCAGATAGCATTTTCAAAAATTGGCAGCCTACATGTTTCTGTCATGACACCTCATCTTGATTCACACCAAAGTGGAATATTAGTTATTTGTGGAGCTTGGTTGGCTGAGTCAGCCTTTGGCATGCATACCTGTGTTCCGGTCCACCTGGAAGTTTGGGGTGCTCCACATTTTCCATAAAAACAAAAGCCAGCCACATCAGGTGTGCAAACCATTCAGCACAGAAATTTCAGAAAGGAGAGATCAGCAATGGCATATTTTGTGTTAATCTCATCACAAGTTTCTTTTAAAGACTGCTTGTCACTCTGCCTATTCAGGGCCAAGTGACAGGGTCTCTTTAATCTCCCCCCCCCCCCGGGGGATTAGCCGTAACATGAATGAGGGGGTGACACCATCACCACAGTGTATGCTCCCGGCAGAGTTAACACAGGGTATTTTGTGGCAGGAGCTCTGTATAAGGTTAAGTTTTAAAGAGAACTTGTCACCTAAAAGGGCCTGGTAGGAGGAGCTTCTTAAAGTGTTACTAAACCCACAACAGTAAAATCAGTCTGTATCTGCAGTAAAGCATGTTTGTTATACTCACTGTGTAATCTTAGGGGTTAATCCTCTGCACTGTGTAAAAAGACTGTTTGATCCTGTCTTCTCTGATCCTCCACTGTCCCCAATCCATCTGCTGATAGTACAGAGCCATAGGAGTCACTCTGCACATGCTCTGTTTGGTGTGTATTACTAGGGAGTTTTTTCTTCTTTGAGACAGTGCATGTGATCAGCACAGGGCCAATCAGCACTGTCCAGACAAAGGATCAGGGGTTATGCAGCCTCATAGGACAGTCAGAGCAGAATGGAAACACCTCCTACAAGCTTTAACCAAAGCCCAGCTGGACACTGATAGAAGTCACAAGACTGTCATATACTGCTGATGAGAAAAGGTATTTGGCAGTTTATATTTACTAAATAATTGCATTTCCATGTTCTGTGTACTGTGGGAGACCAGA